GCATCTTCCCAAGCTTTGCACGGCAGCTGGTTGGGCCGAAGGTAACTTCAGCCTTGCTCTTCTGCAGCCGGCGCACAGAAAGAAGGTTAGCGGACAAACCTTCAACCAACAGCACATTCTCAAGCCCCACAAGCTCTCCATTGGCTCCCATCACCTTAGCATTCCAACACCAATCACAGGGAGCAAAGCACCTGAAGCGGCAGCCACAAACTTGATCTTCCCAGGAGGTTTTACCTCATCAAGCAAATCTGCCCGTGGGGTCCTATGACTCGTGCAGCCTGAATCGATCACCCAGTGAGTGAGGGGGTGCATCACAACCTTCCCAACTGAACCCACATCACCCCCACTCCCTTGCACATCCTCAACCATGAGGAACATCCCAGGGTCGGCTTTACCTTGTGCACCATCACCTTGTGCACCTGATCCTTGCACAGCGCCACCGCGTGCACGTTCACCACTTGGCGGCTTCATGCCTGGAGGGGCCCATCCCTCAGGCCGGCTGAAACACTTGAACCACGGGTGTCCAGCCTTCTTGCAGTACCAGCACGCACCCTCCATTCGGGTGCTCCCCCTGCCACCAGAGCTCCCATGCCCCTCATTGTAGTCACCTCGGCCTCTCCCTCTGCCAAAGCCTCTCCCACGGCCTCGGCCTCTCCCTCCCCCTCTTCCTCTGCTGCCTCCTGCAGCTCCATACCCCTCAGCAGTTTGTTTGCAGCACCACCTCCCGTGTGGCGCCTGCGGAAGTCCTCTTGCACAATCTGCTGCCGTAGCCACTCAGGCGTCCATTTGTCCTACTGAACGTTGAGGGTGGGGATGAGGTTGTCCCACGAGTTGTCGAGCACCGAGATGATCTTGGTGCACTGTTGCATCTACGACACTTCGCTGCCCGCCGCTGCCATCCTCGCATAGATGTCCTTGATCTTGTCAAGGACCGGTTTCACATCATCTCCCGGTTTCATGGAGAGGGCAACCAACTCCTTCTCCAACACAATCACCATCGGCAGCGTGTTGGGCTGAATCACGTTGCGTAGCAGCTTCCATGCCTTTGGTCCGGAATCATCCAACTCCACCAAATCTTTGATGTGCTGGAACATGTCGTTGTTGACCGATTGGAGGATGAGGTCGTACAGCACCGTGCTCTTCTCAATCCACCGATCGCGGGCATCTCCTTCCCCCGGCATCTTCTCCTCTCCCATTGCAATTTTCAGTAGCTTGTAGCGCTTGAAGGCGCTCCGCATCCGCCCGCTCCATTCCTCATAGTTGGAGCCATCCAAAGCTTCGATCTTGGATTGTGGCGGTTCACTCCTCTTCTCAGCTGCATCTCCACTCCCTTGATTCATCTCCTCTGCTCCCAATCAGAGGTTTCAGCTCCCCCTTTTGCTGGTCAAAATGTAGATCCACACAATCTTCACAAGTGTCGGCGCCAACGAAATTTCGGCAGAGTTTCCCCTTATCGGAAGTCACATCCAACCTCCAAAACTCCACTTAGGCACGCCCACAGGCCATGGTGGGTCTATGAGGGTCTTCACACTTCAGTAGACTCTCCACAAAGTCCTTAATCAGCTCTGATACCACTTGTTAGAGACTGAGGACGGAGTCTATGAAGATTAGTAGCCAAAATATCTCAACATCGTTGGGCCTAGTTTCTGAACCGAAAAGTCGAGTTCACAAGAAACGCCGTCGACGAAAAGTTCACAGTCAAAACTTCATCAAACTCGAATATGTTGTAGCTCTACTCCGTGGCTACAATTCCCAAGTTGAATCATGCGAAAAGGTGAAGTCTTTCTTGAGCTATCAATTTCGGCGCACCAGGGGGTATGCGGCCATAGAATCTTAACTCAATCACAAAGTTCACACAAGTTCACACAAGAGAATTTGGAGTAGCACTAAACCAGGTGGAAGAGATGAGGAGGACGAGAGGGAAGGTCCCAAGAGAGTCTCCAACCAAGGAAACCCCATGCCATACAATTCCCTTCCCCATAGGCAACCCAACTTTGACCTTTGTCACTATCCCAACCTCCACAATCCACCTCAACCCAACTTGGCCACACTTGCCAGCCAGGTTTGGTTTCTCCCAACCATTTGGCAGCAACTACAGTAGAAAAGACGAATTTCCCAACCCTCAAAAGTCTGTACCGCATATTGAGTCAACCCCACAACTTCCCATAGTCACCACAACCAAATATCAAAAGCATACGAACTCCAACGTTCGTAACTTTCTTGTTCGTGCTCCGATTGAAGCGATACTTGGTTCCTCGGAAAGCTCTTGAGCAGAGGAGTCACTTCAGATATCTGCTCAAGCCAAATAACATTCACACACACTCACTCAGAAAACCCAAACCGCACAAAACACAAATTTCTGCACACACTCACAACACGCATGCAACACACGAACATATGATGGGAGGCAGACAGACGTGAATGCGAATGGTAGCATCACTCAACAAGCAATACAGCAGTGTAGCACAGTACACGCAGCAGATGGAGTCACTGTTCAACTGCATCACCGACCTGACCGAAGGCGAAAAAATCCAGGTGTACACAGAAGGATTAAAAAAGGAGATTCAGCGGCAGGTGATTGCTGTGAAAATTAAAACGAGAATGAATGAACTATGAATGAAGTGGGTACAAGTACTAACCCTAATTGGGTTGTACCCCCTACAGGATACCCCACTACAGCCTACACAAAAGTATAAGCTATGATGTTCTGACACACCCCCATAGGCAAAGTGGGGGAGAACAAGGGGTCACAAGACCAGTCAAGCAAAGCAAAGCAGAGCAAGCTCAGGGTGGATCACAACGTCACCACACATTCTGAGCACAAGTTCAAGGCCACAAGGCCAGTTCACATGCAGGAGTACATGTATATATAAGACTAGACAAGCAAGAGCAGGTAAATATATATATGTAACAGTACAAGCAAGGTCAAGGGGTGAGCAAGTGAGGCAAGACAGGGACAAGACCTAGCTGAGTGCAGAAGCGCTGATGATCACAAGGCGGAAGTGCCTTGGTGAAAACATCAGCAGTGTTGGCCTCAGAGGCCACGTACGCAAGCCGCGATTGACCACGCTGCTGTAGCTCACGAGCAAGGAAGTAGCGAAGAGCAATGTGCTTAGTTCTGTGCTCCAGTCTCTGCTCTCGACACAAGGCCAGCATGGCCTTGTTGTCTACGTACAGGACTGGAGGAGAACGAGGCGGCTCTCCAAGGCCGGTCAGCAGGTAGGTGAGCCAGCGAAGCTCCTGGGCAGCCATGGCCCCACCGTAGATCTCAGACTCACAACTGGAGCCGAGAACAAAAGACGAGCAAGTAGCCCGCCACGAAACAGAGCCGGAACCAAGGCTGAAGGTGTAACCCTGTGACGACCGCTGCGTAGCCTGGTCGTCAGCCCAAGAAGCGTCCGCGTGCCCAGAGAGGACCATTGGACTCCGCCCTCCAAGCACTAGCCCCATGCCCGACGTACTCCACAAGTAGCGCAACACCCTCTTCGCTGCAGCCATGTGCTCTGGTCGGTGTCTCCCAGGAGCAACATAGCGTGCAAGAATGCTAAGAGGGTATGCAAGGTCAGGTCGTGTGCAGGTCATCAGGTACATGAGGCAGCCAACAAGCTCTGGATACGGGCCACTCGAATCTACGGACTCATCCGAAGGCAGAGCTGAGAGTGAGTGGCGAGTAGGCAGAGGAGTGGCCTGAGGCGAGGAGTACGTGAAGCCGAAGCGCTGAAGGACCTGCTGCACCATGTGTGACTGAGTCAGGGTAATGGTGCGGCGTGCTCTGTCCCGGGTGATCTGCAAGCCAAGGTAGCTGCGCAGTTCACCCAGGTCAGTGCACGTGTGTCTCTTCTGCAGCTCAGACTTCACGTAGGCGAGTCCAGCAGTGTCACCTGTGGCAAAGACCAAGTCGTCGACGTACACGAGGATGTAGAACGGCGGCAGAGAGGTGTCGGTGCGCAGAAACAGCGACGGGTCGGCAGTAGAAGGAGCAAACCCAAGAGCCGCAAGTGTAGTCCTCAGTGTGTCGTGCCACTCATGCGGTGCCTGGCGAAGACCGTAGACTGGCCGCCGGAAGCTCAATTGGGTGCCAGGAGGAAAAGTCCTAGTGAAGCCAGGTGGGCGGCGCAGCCAGATCTCCTCGTGCAGGCTGCCCTGCAAGAAAGCTATGCTGAAGTCGAGAGAGTGCAGCTCGTAGTCACGGTGAGCAGCAACGTGCAGCAGTACCCGAAGAGTGGTCATCTTCGGGGTGGGGGAGAAGGAAGTAGTCAACTCCCTGCCGCTGACTGAAGCCACGAGCAACGTAACGCGCCTTGAAGACAGGCGGAGAACCCGGCGGCCGCTACACCCTGAAGATCCACATGCCACTGACGATGTTCGCCCCAGGAGGGGGGACAGCGTCAACGTAGGTGCCTGTGGACTTCCAGGAAGCCATCTCTGCATCCATAGCTGCCTGCCACTGAGAGGAGTAGGGACCCTCTATTGCCTCCGCGTAAGAGCGCGAAGTCGGGATGTCAAGTGCATCCGGGTCTCCCTCAGGGGTAAGCAGTACGGACACGAGATGAGGTGAAGCACCTGCCAGACACTGGAACTCCTCCTGCCTGTCCTCAAGGACGTCCGTGCCAAGGGCACACTCACCCCCGACGGACGGAGGACAGACAGACTCAGACTCAGTGACAAGACTAGCAGCGTAGTCTAGACGACAGCGAGCAGCAAAGTCGACGAGCTCAGCAACGAGGGCAGACACAGAAGTGGACAGGCTATGGACCCTCTAAGGGAGGAGGAGGACTAGTAGAAGGTGGAAGACCAAGAACCTGCTGCAGGAGTGGAACGAAGTACGGTCGAGGCCGTGAAGCGATGCCAGAAACAGCAGGGACAGCACCAGTACCCCCAGCAGGAGCACCCGCTCCAGCAGCACCTCCAGCAGCTCCAGAACCTCCAAGAGCACCAGGGGCACCCCCAGAAGGACTGCCAATGGTAGTCTCAGCGCCAACACCCTCAGGAGCACCAGCTCAAGTCGAACCTGCAGACCCAGCAGCTCCAGTACTCCTAGTACGAGCACCTCCGGGACCCGCGACAGCAGCACCCTCATTAGCCGAAGAACCTCCAGCACCAGCAGCACGGCTCCAGCGCCGAGCAAACCACTCGTGCAGCTCCTGTGGAGAGAGTGGCTCCCGGCGAGACGAAGCACCCGGAGAACCTCCAGGCGAAGCACCTCCAGGCTCAGCACCCCCAGGCCTAGCACCCCCAGGCAAAGCACCCCCAGGCGTAGCCACCCCAGGCCCAGCACCCCCAGGCTCAGCACCCCCAGGCTCAGCACCCACAGGCGTAGCATCCCCAGACTCAGCACCCCCAGGCTCAGCACCCCCAGGCCCAGCACCCCCAGGCTCAGCACCACCAGTCTCAGCACCCCCAGGCTCAGCACCCTCAGTAGCACCAGAGTCACCAGTGACCTCAACAGGCTCGACTGCGTCTACCTGGGACACACCTGAAGGGGCAGGACCCTGAGGGGGGAGGGGGTCTACCGGGGGGGGGACCTGGTACAAGGAAGAGCGGGGGCGGGGGGAGGGACGGAGTGCGGTAGGGGAAGAGGCGGTAGTAGGGGACCGACTCGTCGAACGTGACGTCCTGGGAGGACAGAACATGGCGAGAGGTGGGGTGGTAGAACTACCACCCAGGCGCGTCAGGGGGGAACCCCAGGAAGACGCAAGGAGCAGCACGAGGGGACAGCTTGTCCGCAGACAAGTCGCGGACAAACGCCCGAGATCCCCAGACCCGGAACGCCGACGCATCGCCAACCTTCCCCGTCCACAGCAAGGCAGGGGAGGTCTCCGGCCTGGAGACCCTGGGGTGAAGGTTGATCTGATGCGCCGCGTACCTCACCGCAAACGGCCACAGAAAATGGGGGGCAGCCGCATGCATCATAGACGTACGAGCGATGTCCATGACCATGCCAATGCGGCGCTCAGCAATCCCATTTTGCTGCGGAGAGTCCGGAAGCGTGAAGGTCTGACGGATGCCTCGTGCACGACAGTAGGCTCGCAGAAGGCCAGAGGAGAACTCTCCGCCTCTATTCGAGTGCAGACGCAGAACAGGAAAGTCCGAGCCAAAGCTCTGCCTGAGCTGGAGACAAGCTGCGCGGATCCAGTCGATCAGCACCTCAGTGACATCACCCTTGCTTCGCAAGGGGAAGACTGCGGTGTAACGCGAGTAGTCGTCAACAACGAGCAAGAAGTAGCGCTCGTGACCCTGCCCACGGACGCGGGCTAGGCCCCACACGTCCATGTGAAGCGTCTGCAGCGGGGCCTCTGTCGGAGGAAACTGGGAGGAGTGAGGGGCAGCACGCTGGCGCCCCTCGACACAGGGAACACAGGTAGGGCCAGGGCCCTGAGGAAGGGGAGGGAGGGACCGGGGGAGACCAGACACTAGAAGACGGGAGGCCATGCCTCTGAGCCGAAGCAGAGAGGGGTGACCAAGACGGTGGTGCCAGAGGAGAGTCTCGTGAGACAAGAGACGACACGAACAGGGGGCAGACTCAGGACCAGACCTGGACGCTGCACCAAACACCTGACCCGACGAAGCGACTCTACCAGACTCAGTAACAGGAGGAGACGTAGTGGTCAGTGTGTACAGGCTCGACCCGGCTGACGGGTAAACGTAGCCAGGTGCCGGCCTGTGCTAGCCTCTGTACAGTGCGTCACCCGCTAACGCAAAGGAGTGGAGAATTGGTGGACACCCGCATCCTGTAGGTCAGCACCCCTCACCAGGTTCGTAGAGAACGAGGGGAGGTAGAGACCAGACAGGGTGCCAGAGGGAGCCGCCGGACACGGGAGGACTGTGGAGAAGCGAGACAGGACAGGACCCCCAGAGGGGTCAGCTAGAGACACTGCACCGGCCGACTCAGCGGTGTGAGTGTGGTGCGGTCCCGAAAGAAGGAGCGAGACGCCCCAGAGTCAAGGGTGAAGGTGAGGGAGGCCGAAGCCGACGTAGTACCTGAGAGCGCAGACTCACCAGTACCTGAGGACGAAGACACACTAGCACCTAGAGCAGCAGCGTCGCAAGCACCTAGGGCAGCAGCCTCACCAGTACCTAGAGCAGCAGTCTCAATGCCCGGATCGAGCGGGAAACACCGGTAACAGTCACCCTCATCACTAATAGACACAGTATACATGGCAAAGAGAATAGCATCAAAGTCAAGATCATAGATGGCAACACCCGCCCTAGACAGCTCGCCCCAGCGAGGGATCTCTGAGGCCTCCGGGAACTGGTGACGCCATGCGTCCGTCAGGCGGCCAAAGCAGCGCTGGGTGGGGTGCGCACCCCCACATTGCTCACCCGCACGGTCGCCGGTGCGCAAAACGTAGGAGCACGGACCAAAACCCCCACCCCGCTGGCGCGCAGTGTACCACTCACGAAGCTGCTGAGGGGAGAGGGTCTCACGACCGCGCTGCTGCTGCTGGCGCGAGCCACCACCGGAGCCACTCCTCTGGGAAGACCCGCGACCAGCACCATCCCCACCCCCGCCGCCTCCGCCGCCTCCGCCGCCTCCGCTACTGCCGCCACCTCCGCCTCCGCCTCCACCGCCGCCACCTCCGCCACCTCCGCTCCCACCGCCACCGCCGCCGCCACCTCCGCCTCCACTGCCGCCACCGACCCCTCCACCCCCACCTCCACTCCCACCGCCACCCCCACTCCCCCCACCGCCGCCACCTCCACCTCCACCGCCCCCGCTCGCTCCTCTAGCGCCCTTGCCCCCCTTGCCCTTGCCAGGGCGGCGTCTCCCGCTAGGGGCAGACGCCGCACCGACCGACTCAAGACCAAGGAGGTCGGCCGCAGTAGCAGAGGCAACAGAGGGCAGAAGGGGGGAGGGGGGACACCCCTCAAAGATGGGGGTGCGCGGGTCACCTCGAGAGGCTCCTACAGCGACTATGCTCTTCTCTATCGCTAGGAGGGCCTTCTCGAGGAGGTCGACAGTAAGAGTGGTGGGACAGACTGAGAGGAAGTGATCCCTGACTACACGAAGGGAGTCAGGGAGACGAGTGACTATGTAGTAGAGAGTGATGTATATGGGGGGGGGGGGGGTTTCTTGGCGCAGAAATCAGCAGGAAGTGCAGCGCGGTAGCGAGTGTCACTAGTGCGGAGGTGCGTAATGAGGTCTGCTACTGTGGGAAAGGCAGCAAGGTCAGGAAAGAGGTACGGTAGCATGTGACGGCTCAGTGCAGCAGTGGCAGGGGAGGAGTAGCGCGCGACTATAGTGTCGTACAAGGTCTGAGCACTCTTGTACTGACTAAAGTGCGCACGCTCTGAGGTAGGGAGGTGGCGACGCACAGCAAGACGTGCAGCAGCGTCGCGCGTGGCCCACTGGGAGCGAAGAGTGGCGTCAGCATCAGCAGCAGGGGCAGAGGAAGCGCCAGAGGTGAGGTCAAAGAGAGAGAGGCCGTCTGCCCTATCGCACTGTAAGAATAGCTGCAGGTCATCTACCCAGACCTCAAAGTCAATGGCCCGACCCTCAGCGTCAAAGGCGAGGACACTAGGGGTAGCCATGACCCGAGACGACTAGCAGTGCAAATACTAGGGTGAGGGCACTGCAGTGAAAAGGCGCTGTGCTCACCAGACTGGGCAGGTCGGGCGGCCCGGAAGTAGGGCGGCTCGGCGGCTCGGCAGCTCGGCTGCTGGGCGGCTCGGCGGCTCGACTGCTCACCGGCTCGGCGGCTCGGCGGTTGGGCGGCTCGGCGGCTCTGCTGCTGGGCGGCTCGGCTGTTGGGCGGCTCGGCTACTCTGCTGCCGGGCGGCTCGGCTGTGCTGCTGTAGGGCGGCGCGGCGGTCGGCAGCTCGGCCAGGTGAGACGGCTCGGGCGGCTAGGGTGTCGCGGCGGCGCTGTAGCAGGTGACGGGGCCGAGAGCGAGGCGGCGGGGCCGCAGGTAGGGCGGTGGGGCCGCTGAGTGAGGCGACGGGTCCGCTAAGGTAGGACTGCGGGGCCGCAGGTAGGGTAGGGCGGCACGTGACGCCGCAAAGGGCGGTGACGGGCCGGTACAGGCGGCGACGGGACGGGCGGCGACGGGCCGGGACAGGCGGCGCACGGTCCGCGTCGGGCGGCGACGGGCCGGGACAGGCGGCGCGCGGGCTGCGTCGGGCGGCGACGGGCCGGGACAGACGGCGCGAGGGCCGCCTCGGGCGGCGACGGGCCGGGATAGGCGGCGCACGGGCCGCGTCGGGCGGCGGCGAGGGGCCGGGACGAGCGGCGCACGGGCCGCGTCGCACGGGACGCGCGGCGCACGGGGCCGGGACGGGCGTCGACGGGCGGCGCACGGGACGGGTGGCGCACGGGGCCGGGACGGACGTCCAAAGGGCGGCGGGCGGGCCGCGTAGGGTGGCGACGGGCCGCTAAGGGCGGCGACGGCCGAGCAAGGGCGGCTCGAGGGAGGCCGCGACAGTAGAGAGAGGACCCGAGGCGCGACTCGGGCCTAAGCGGAGCGCGCTTCGGGCAGGAAAAAAAAAAAATCGATGGTGGGCCCTAGGATGAGTTCCCACGAGGGAACCTGCTCGATACCATGAGAAGAAACGAGAATGAATGAACTATGAATGAAGTGGGTACAAGTACTAACCCTAATTGTGTTGTACCCCCTATGGGATACCCAACTACAGCCTACACAAAAGTATAAGCTATAATGTTCTGACAACCTGGTTACGGGGCCTTGTGTCGAGCCTATATATAGCCTCGTGTTGTACCCAGGTGATCATTCAATTCACATTCTATTTTCTGAGCTCGATCCTAGATCCTCACAATAATGTCTCATTCGGGGGGTCCACAGAACTCGTACTATGTAAGGACAGAGTCCATAAGAAGACTACTCTGAGCGTGTATACAGAATTTCAGGGCCCGCTAAAGCGTTAGTCTGAATGGATGAGTGTTCACAAGGCGTAAATTCTGAAATTGCAGGGACCAGAAGGTGAAAAGTCTGAAATCACACTAAAATCAGGGTAATTACTCTGATAAAATCAACACTGTTCCTAGTGTTGCTGCGTCCCCGTTTGGGCTATTCAAGGTTAAGAGTGATTGTTTTCTAGGGTTCTGGTGTGGTGTTCCCTAACCCAGCGCCTCCCTTTCCCCTCCATCGCACCTCCCCGAAAAGGCAGTTTTCGAAGGGCGGGGCGAAGGAGGCAAAATTTGCCAGCGTAGGAAGGTGGGGAGGGGAAATGGGCGGCTTCCTACATCCTCATATCCACGAGGGTACATGGCTGTTCTGTTGCCATTTACCTTCGTTTACGTTTGGAGGGTAAATGGGAGGCTCGGAACCATTTTCTGACCGCATTTTCGACCCAAAAAACGCAGTTGGGGGAAAGTTCTTATTTACCGCCTCCCCCCCCCCTCTGTCGTGCCTACAGAACGCAACCACAATCACTTGACAGGGTCTGGGCTACTGAAATTTTGTCGGAAGATGTGTTCATTGGTCGGTTTCGGGAACGATGTTTCACATGCAGGCGCAATGTGAACCAAAATCAATTTTGCGACTGGGCCGGAAACACCTTGGTTTCTGTCAAACATTATATATGTTATGCTTGTGTAGGCTACAGTCGGTTAGCCTATAGGGGGTACACAATTCTAGGGTTTCCTACTTGTACTCATTTTCACTGCTAGTTCATTCATTCCTGTTCGCTTATTCTCACATGGTATAGAGCGGGTCCTTCTAAGGACCGTTTTTTTTGGGCCCACCGAAGCGCGCCCCGAGGCGCGATTTTTTTTAGCGACCCCTCGGGTCGCCTTTTCCCCTGCGGCTCAGCCGCCTCCACTGAAGCGGCCCCGCCGCCCTCCCTTACGCGGCCCCGTCGCCGGCTCTCACGCGGCCCCGCCGCCGACTCTGTCGCGGCCCCCGCCCCGGCCTTTACGCGGCCCCGCTGCCTGCTCTCACGCCGCCCCGCCCCGGCTCCTCCGCGGCCCCGCCCCGGCCTTCACGCGGCCCCGCCGACGGCTCTGTCGCGACCCCGCCCAGGCTCTTACGCGGCCCCGCCGCCTACCCTCGCGCGGCCCCGCCCCGGCTCTTCCGTGGCCCCGTCCCGGCTCTTACGCGGCCCCTGCCCAGGCTCTTACGCGGCCCTGCCGCCGGCTCTCTTGCGGCCCCGCCCCGGCTCTCACGTGGCCCCGCCGTCGGCCCTCTCCAGGCCCCGCCGCCGGCTCTCTTACGGCCCCGTCGCCGGCCCTGACGCGGCCCCTGCCCCGGCTCTCAAGCGGCCCCGCCGCCGGCTCTTTTGCGGCCCCGCCGCCGACTCTGAAGCGGCCCGGCCCGGCTCTCACGCGGCCCCGCCGCCGGCCCTCACGCGGCCCCTACCCGGCTCTCTTGCGGCCCTGCCGCCGGCTCTGAAGCGGCCCCGCCCCGGCTCTCACGCGGCCCCGCCGCCGGCCCTCACGCGTCCCCGCCCCGGCTCTCTCACGCGGCCCCCCCGCCACACCTGCAGCAGTCGGGCAGCAGTGCAGCCGAACCGCCCGGGAGCCGAGCCGCCCAACGACCGAGCCGCCCGGGAGCCGAGCCGCCCTGTACCCGAGCCGCCCTGCCGCCGAGCCGCCCGGGAGCCGAGCCGCCCTGCGCCCGAGCCGCCCAGCCACCGAGCCGCCCGGGAGCCGAGCCGCTGTGCACCCGAGCCGCCCGGTTGCCGAGCCGCCTTTCTGCAGAGCTGGCGACCTGCCCTGCCTGGTGAGCACAGTCCCACTATCACTGCGAGCTCTTTCCCTACTGCTTGCACTGCGTCGCTGTCGTCGCCATGGCTACCCCTAGTGTCCTAGCCTTTGACGCTGAGGGTCGCGCCATTGATTTTGAGGTCTGGTTAGACGACCTGCAGCTGTTCTTACAGTGCGACAGGGCTGACGGCCTTTCTCTCTTTGACCTCACCTCTGGCGCCTCTCCTGCTCCTGCTGCTGATGCTGATCCCACTGTCCACTCTCAGTGGGCCACCCGCGATGCCGCTGCACGTCTTGCTGTGCGTCGCCACCTCCCTACCTCTGAGCGTGCGCACTTTAGTCAGTACAAGAGTGCTCAGACCTTGTACGACGATGTCGTTGCGCGCTACTCCTCCCCTGCCACTGCTGCACTGAGCCGTCTCATGCTTCCCTACCTCTTTCCTGACCTCTCTGCCTTTCCCACTGTCGCTGACCTCATTACGCACCTCCGCACTAGT